TTTCCCTCTGTCGGGGGAACGCATCCGCCCTAAAGCAAAAAAAAAAAAAAGGGGGGGGTGCACAGAGCAAAGATGCATGCAGCAGAGGCCATGGGAAACTGAGCTCCAGATTTCAAAACTTTCCCAGGGTGAGTCACAAAGGATACATTGACATCCCCCACAGCCAGATGTGGCAACTGTGAGATGTTGCCAACCAAAAAAACTTGTTAGAGGCCCCATGCCCGAGCTTTTTATTGCTGCCTGGTCACGTAGGCAGCTCTGCCTGGCACTACCAAGTATCAGAAACCCAGAGAGACAGCAGATGCTCTGCATACACGGCGTTGTTTGTACCTGCAGTTTAGGTAGAGCAAGAACCTGTTCTCAGAGAATTGTGGGAGCCCTCCTAAAATCCACTTCCTTCTGCCAGCCAAGCGAAAAAAAGGCAGAAGCAGAGGAACAGCCAAGCCTAAAAGGAGTAAATTTAAGAGATATAGTGTGAGTTTTCAACAGGAACATTGATGGAGATTTTGGGGATTTTTTTGTTTGTTTTGTTTTGCCAGAGGGCATGTGTGCTCACCAGACAGGGAGGGAGAGGGACAAAGCACCCCCCAATGGGGCACGGTCACACTGCACTCCCTCTCCTTTCCTCTACCCTGTTGAGATTTTGGGCATGCCCACACACATGTCTGATGTTTTACAAGATGTTGAGCCCAGGATTCAAACTGTGGTCAGTCATGTGGTATCTGGCTCCCTTAACCATTATGCTATGGAGCCGACCCTAGGAAACAGAAAAAAAATCTGTTTGTAGAACCATCTATGGATGCTGAGAAAGAACACACAATTGTAAGGTGTTTCAAACTAACTAGACCCTGAGAGATATGAGTACAGAAAACTTCAGCCATGCTCATTGTAATTCAGACCTCACTGAACAACATAAAAACGTCCCCAGACCGACTGACAGTGTCTAAGCCAGGGGTCCCCAACCGCTGACCAGCAGGAGCTGGGCCACAGAGCAGAGGTGAGTGGCAGGCAAGGGAGCAAAGCTTCAGCTGCATCCACAGCCGTCCCCCATGGCTGGCATTACCACCCGAGCTCCACTTCCGGGCAGATTAGCGGAGACATTAGATTCTCATAGGAGTGTCCAGAGGGGACCACCTAGATGCAGGGAGACGAACTCAGGGGTCCCACTGGTTCTGAGTTGTATAATTATTTCATTATATATTACAACGTAATAATAATAGAAATAAAGTGCACAATAAATATAATGCACTTGAATCATCCTGAAGCTGTCCTACCACCTACTGACCTGAGCCGTGAAAAATTGTCTTCCAGGGAACCAGCAGTTAGCGTAATGGCTATGTCGCTGGACTCCCACGTAGTCGACCGCGGTTCGTGTCCCAGACCCGGTGGCTTAAAACTCACGCCGGGCGCGTGTGCGTGCGTGCCCAAGATCCCGAGAGGAGAATGGAGGAGAAGGGATTGCGGCGTGACCATCCCCCCTGGGGGGTGATTTCTCGCTTTCTGTCTCTATGTCTCTCTCTGTCTGTCTGGCGAGCGCACGCGCCCTACAGTGAAAATCTCTCTCTCAAAAAAAAAAAATTGTCTTCCACAAAAGCAGTGCCTGGTCCCAAAGAGGTTGGGGACCACTGGTCTAAACCACCAATTAACTTACACACACTGCTGTAAAAATAGACAAAGTCTGGACTTCAGGACACTAGCTCCGCTTGTCTGGAAAGTTTTCTTGTTGTCTAGAAAACTTAAGTCATGGAAGGAGGAAGCCATCAAAAATGTCAGTTAGTGGAAACTCCTCATCACACCTCTGTAGCCTCTCTTCCTCCCACCCCTTCTTTTTTCTCTCTATAAAATGGACCCTGGACATCGCCATTTGGGGGAGCAGTGGCTACAGGTAACTGAAGTATTTGTTTCCTCTGATAGTGATCCTCAAGTTAATGCTTAAAGAAACTATTCTATTTATGACATTAACTGCAGGTCCGACCTCTTCAGTCAACAAGTACTAAAATTAGTGAGCAAGGGGACCAGCAGGTGGCATGGTAGTTGAGGTGCTGGACACTCCCACATGGCCAATCACGGTTCAAGTCCCGGACCTGGTGACTTGCTTTCTCATTTTTTCTCTCTTCAAATTAAAATGAATAAATAAATAAATAAAAATTTTGGAGAAGATTTTTTGCTACAGGACGCGTGTGCTCGCCAGACAGAGAGAGACAGAGAGAGAGAAAGTGAGAAATCATCCCCCAGGGGAGATGGCCACGCCACAATCCCTTCTCCTCCATTCTCCTCTCGGGATCTTGGGCACACACGCGCACGTGCCCGGCGTGAGTTTTAAGCCACTGGGTCCGGGACACGAACCGCGGTTGACTACATGGAAGTCCAGCGACATAGCCATTACGCTAACTGCTGGTCCTATGAATAAATAAAATTTTAAAAATAGTGGGCAAAAGGATCATAAGAAATATGATATTTGAAAAATGTCAGAGGTACTTTTTTTTTTTTATCACAAAGGGGGAATAGCTTCTCTCCCATGGGGAAACCTGACAAATGCTTCACTGCAGTGAGCAGGTCGGTGTGACCAGCAATAACATACAAGACGCCAGCGCCCGGTGCAGTGCATTGAGGAGGACGTCGTGTTGCTTCTGTGGTGTTCTTCCCCAAAATGCATCCCCCAGGGCCGGCAGGTGACATGGTGGTTAGGGCACCAACTCCCACATGGCTGACCATGGTTCGAGTCCCAGACCTGGCAGCTTGTTTTCTCACTTTCTCTCTCTGTCCCTCTCTGGTCAAATTTTAAAAATAAATAAATAAATAAAGTTAAGTAAAGAATTCTTTTTTAAAAAAAAATTCATGACCCATAGGAAACTTCAGACAAGGCAAAAGTGAGGAACAGTCCTCAAAATAACTGAATGTTTTAAAAGTGTCAAGGGGAGGCCAGCATGTGGTGTGGTGGTTAAGGCACTGGATCCCAAATGGCCAACTCAGTGATCTGAGTCCCAGATCCAGAGGCTTGAAAAACACATCAGGCACAGATGCATACATGTTCGTGTGAGTGCATGCATGTGTGCCAAAATCCCGAGAGGAGAACGGAGAAGAATGAATTTCAGCATGGCCATGCCTCCTGGTGTGTGTGTATGGGGGGGGGGGGGATTTCTCACTTTCCTTCTCTGTCTCTCTCCAGTGAGTGCACATGCCCTATGGCAAAAATGTAAAATAAATAAATTAATTAAAAAGGCATCAAGGACATGACAACAGAGACGGAGGAACTGTCCCAGACTGGAGTAAGGAGACTACAACAGAACACAGCATGGAGGAGCCTGGACAGCGGACAGACTGGCGACAGGATGATGGAATGTAAATCCACCTGCAGATGAGCTAGCGGCGTCCTATCGCAATGCCAAATGCAAGATGTTAACATTTGGGGAAACCAGCTGAAGCTGTACAGGAACCCTGTCCAATTTTGGCAACCTAAAATTATTTCAATATAAAACGTCTTAAAAATCAAAAAAGTTAAAAAATAAATAATAAAAGAAGAAAGGCTGGTCGGGTGCCTGCAGTCGCAGCCACTTGGGGCTAAAGCAGGAGGACGACAACAGGGAGCCCCTGTCACCGAGCAAGCAGATGAGCACTGGAGAACGATGTACTCTCCGACTTCACACCATCGCCCACGCTAACGTGGCCTCAGAGCTAGGATCTTCGCTCTGTCTGCCCCGTGCTCAGGACAGTGTCTAGGTGGTGAGTGTGTACAGGTGCTCACTAGGTCCAAATTGGCAACAGAAGGGCACACAACAGAAGGGCACTCCGCCATGATGGTTAAGGCTGCCACATCCCACATGGCTGACCACAGTTTGAGTCCTGGACCTGGCAGCTTAGCACGTGTGTGTGCATGCCCAAAATCTCAAGGAGAATGGAAAAGGGACTGTGGTATGGCCATCCCCCTGCAGGGGTGATTTCTCACTTTCCCTCTCTCTGTGTCTCTCCAGTGAGTGCATGTGCTTTATGGTAAAAACCTAAAAAAGAAAAAAACAAAGTGAGGATCAGCATCATGCCTCTCC